GGTGTGGGCGCTGCTGTGCGTGTTCTCTGCTTGCACCTGTGCACCATCACACCATCACCCACCACACCCCACACAGTCCACGGAACCAAACGAGACTACCCACAACAGAACCGCCAGTGAGTGCCCGTCACAACGCGCACCCTCTCCCTTCTCTCCACCAACCCTGCGCCAGCCACGCACACGAACAACGCAACCCACCACCTCCCACTCACACACCTTGATTCGCGTTTCGCCTGTCGCTTGTTGTTGTGTGTGTTGTTGGTCTTGTTGATTCGTGTTTGGGCGATTGGTGGAAGATGCCACAAATAATCGCCCGCCGCTGCGTTTGTGCGGCAACTGCTGTTTGCTTTCTGCGTTTGCTTGTTGAAGGGCGGACTTGCTTGCTTGCTCACTTGCTTGCTTGGTTGCTTGGTTGGTTGGTTTCAATGAGACAAGAAGAACAAGAAGAAGAAGGGGAACAACACTGTGTGTGTGTGAATGCAACGCAGGCTCACAGGCCTTGCAGGCTGCGGAGGGAAGAAGAGAAGGGGAGAAGAGAAGGGGGATGGAAAAGAAGAAGAAACAGCACACACGCACATACACACACACACGCTCTCTCTTCTCTCTTCTCTCTCCTACTCCTTCTCCCTCCTCCTTCTCACAGTCACAACAGACAACCAACAGCCACAAAGGGCTGGAAGAGAAAACAAACAAGGGGAGGGGGCAACAGCCACCCAGCCAGATCGCCATGGAAGAAAGCGGCGAGGCGATGGAGGGGGAAAAGGAGAACACCGTCCATCAACACACACGCACACACATCTGTTGGGAGCCCCTTGTCTTGGGTCCTCCTTCCTTTTCTTGGCCTGAGCTTGGTTGAGGTGGCACAGCTCGCCATGGCATGGCACGCGTGGATGTGGGCATGGGTGTTGCATGTGGATGGGTTCCTCACTCTGTGTGTGAAAAGCGATTGAGGGAAACAGTGGAAGGGGTGGCAGCAGCAGAGAGGAGGAAGAAGGAGAAGAAGCAAGGGAAGGGGGTGGATGTGAGCATGCCATGCGTGAGTGGACAACAACAACACATGGGCGTGCAATGGTGATGATGTGTGCTTGGTGTTGTGCGTTGTATGTGATGGCACAAGGACACAAAGGTCAACCCCAATCACACACACAATCACACACCTCGTCCTCGATCAACGCAGCTGCCTGACATATGTACACACGCGCACGCACATCTGCAGTCACACACACACACAGTCACACACACATGGCATTGCAGAGTGAGACAACAGTGGACCATGCACACGCATGCACAGCAATGCAACCACAACCACCACAACCACCACAACCACCACAACGACAACATCTTTCCCCTCCCCATCTCCATCCCCCTTATGCACGGTCACATGGCCAGATACACAGCCGTGGTGGTGATGGTGGCCATGATGAACGCCTTCCTCCCACTTCCCCCCGAACCCCTTCCACCAAAAACACGCACAGCATTGCGTGCCCTCACCTCGTGCATCGTGTCGCTGTCGGCGTGATTGATGGCGCTGCGCACACATGTACACGCACGCACGCACACATGGCCGTGTGTGTTCCCAGTTGAGATGAGCAACGGAAGGGAGAGATATGGGCGACACGACACGACGGCCAGTCAACCCCAACCAATCCAATCCAGCATCCGCCGCCGTGTGTTGCCTGCTGCAGTCATCATCACAGTCACACAATCACAATCACACACAGAAAAGGAATGAGCCACTGATATGGGTGTCATTGTCATGTGATATTACCACCACACCATTCACGTGCATGTGTACACGCACCCCCATCCCCCAACCAACATCATCCGCCCTCCATCCCTGCCTTCCCTCTCCCTCCTTTCGCTCTGCACTCCCACGTCGCATCACCACCACCGTGTCACTTTCCCCTTTGCCCTGCTTCCCACCACTCCACACAACACAGCCCACTCACCAACCAACCGCCAACGATCATCCTCACCTGTGCTTGATGCAGCCAGCCAGCCAGCCAATGTGCCACAGCGAAGCCAGAACAAAAGGGAACCGCAATCACACGCCACGGCCACCATCGTCATCGCTGATGGAGCAGAAGAGGAGATGAAGGGGGAAGAGTGGCGGGCACCAGCCGTGTCCTTCCTTGTCCTCATCGGTGCAGCCCCAAACACGGTGAACCGTGCACAGGCACACGCACGGCCATCATCACAGCAGCACCAGCAGCACAAGCTTGCATGCCTGCCTGCGTGTATGTCTGTGAGGCACGGAGAACCAACCAGAGACGAACAACAATGAGCGGTGGTGGTGAGGACAGGAAAGGAGGGACACAAGGGACCACGCATGGGAATATGCAGCTTGTTGTGGGCGGGGTGCATCACCTACACAGAAGAACAACGAAGCAAGCACCCACCAAGCAAGCATCCAACAAGCAAGCAAGCAGGCACAAAATATCACCACTGCTGCATTACCTGTGTTGGCCGTTGTCTCGATCACGCCTCAACAGCTCCACATCACATGGGAAAGGCTGATGATGATGATGACACAGAGCAGAGGCGATTGGTTGGGAAAAGGGGGAAGGGGATTCGGTTGGGAAAACCCGCACATGTCCGCCTGCAGCCACGCACACGCACACATTGAATTGTGTGATTGATTCATGTGAGACACACGTCAGTGCAACCACCCCACAGCCAATGTCTGCTCTGGTGTGTTGGCATGCATGTGTACATGCGTGTACAAGCGTGCGTATGTGCGCGCGAATGTGTGCTACCGCCCCATCACCCCATCACCACACACACACACACACACACACACACACACACTCTCTCTCACTCACACTCACACACACAGCCCCAACGTCTCACCTTGTGCCTTCTTCCCTCGCACATTTGTGTGTGCGTGTATCGCCCTGCTCGTGTCATGAGGGCCTGGGAAGAGATCGGCCACCGTCCTGTGTAAAATCACACACATGTACACATGCGCAAGCACAAACAACAGATCAGCAAGAATGACACCACGCAGTGAGCCAGCATGGCAGAAACAAACCACATCCACCTCATTTGCCACATTCACATCACCCACATCATCACCTGTGCACGCACATGTCACATCCCCACACAAACACAACCGCCACCACCACCTCCTCCACAAGCAGCACAGCTGCACATGCAAGGGCATGCGCTGTCGACATGCACCACAAACTCTCACCACCACCAGCGTCGTCGTCATGCGAGGCAACAGCACATCGACGCACATCACATCCTGTGTGCGGTTGAAGAAAGAGGTGAGTTGTCACAGAATCAGGCTGTCAACGACAACAAAACCCATTGCCACCACCAGCAGACCCAACGACATCCAACCAACGCTTCACAAACAACCACACACTTACATGCTGATGTTCACACCCAACACATCACACACCACCCACATCACCACAACCACCACCATTCATCTCACCTCCACATCCATGGCCGCAGCCGCTGCTGTTGGTGACCAAAAACGACGAGGACGAGGAGGAGATGGACGAGAGGCAGAGGGCCAGTTCATCCACAATGCAGGCAGACATCAGCAGTTGCTGCTGTTGTTGGTGGTGGAAACGGTGGAAACGGTGAAAACAAATGGCCCCTTGCCACGCCGTGTCCTTTGCTCGCTCGCTCGGCTGCTTGGTTGGTCGGTTGGATGGAGACGGAATGCATGGCCCCGTGTCCAAATCAATCAAAAAAAGGGGGAACAAAAGACACATGAGTGGACAGAGCGGACAAGGAAAGTGGGAGGCGAAGAAGGGAACACAACATGTCAACCAACACACACACACACACATCTAAGTCGCCCCTCTCACCTTCATCACTCGTCATCGTCATCGTCGTTGGTTCCACCGCTTCATGCGCCTCCTCAACGCTGTGAAACGTGAGTGTGCACAGACACAAGATGGGAGAGAATGCAGGGGTGAGGTTGACAGCGAAGCATCATCAACCACCCGCCAGCCCCATCCAACCACCCGCATTGACACACATTCACACGCACGCACACATGTTGTCCCCACTCATCCCACCACCATGCACGCATACGCACACATTGCTCACCTCTTCATCAGAGCGACTGACATGTGCAATGTGTGCCTCACGCCAGATTGGAGCTGGTGTTGGCCGGAGTGTGATGGCGGCTGTGCAGTCGATGGCAATGGCGGCGATGATGGTGACTGAGGAGCTGAGGTGGAAGAGCGAGAAAGGAGAGCGAAATGGGGAAGGTTGATGATGATGATGGGGTAGTTCATGGCGGCTGCTTTCCCCTCCTCTGACGTGGCCCTGGTACCCATGCAACCATCACACAACGACAAGACACAACGACATCATCACACACAAGGTACAGGCATGGCATGTGAGCACAGCAGGCGTGTTCACCTCCCTGTCCCTCCTCTGCTTTACTCCACCTCACACACACACACACACATATACACACACACACACACACACACACATCTGCGACTGACTGCGTCGCTGTGATAGGATGTGCCCACCATGACCATGGATGTGTGTGTCCACAGCTGCTCCTCCCATTCCATCATGTGTGCACCGCCCATCATCCTCCAACGATCCTCAGGTAGTCGCCCCCTGCAGCCACACACACACACACACACACACACACACACACACACACATGGCATGTGAGCTGCACAGCTACGCTGCTGCACGAGATACAACAGCAGCAACACCAAACACCCTCAGCAACAACAGCAACACATGCACCATGTGCAATCCAAAGCATCCATGATGGGCCCACCTTGCCTTGCTAACATGTGGGAACACTGCATGAACACAACAGCGGCAGCTGAATCGGGGAAGTTGCAGCAGCAGCAGTCGGCATGCGAGCCCACTTCCATCAACATTGTGATGTGTGCTGGCACCTCACCACCTGTGTGTGTGCGTGGTTGCAGGGAATGTGAATGGGAATAGAACACAACAGACACAGAGCAAGCCATCACGTCAGCACAGCAGAAGAAGTGAGTGACATCACACGCACCACGTGTGTGCGTGTGTATGTGTCGGTGTGTGTCCATCATCCCCCCATCAACCCTCTTCCTTGTTCATTTCATCGCACCCCATCACCATCACAGCCCCATCACACAACCAACAACCACTCATCATCACCCACATGCCATGTGTGAGGCGAGTGCAGCTGGCACGCGTGGCAAGTATCCTCGACATTCCCTCATCCTGTTGCCTGTGCGTGTGCATCACCTGTAAGTGTGGTTGTGTGCGAGCACCAGCATGGTGAGTGAGTGGGAGGGAAGAGGGAGTATGGATATGTGCGCAGCCACACTGCTACTGCCACTGCTGGTGTTGTGCATGCAGGTGTGAAGAACAAAGGGAAGAGAGAGACAACTGAAAACAGAAGGGAGGGAACAAGACATGCTGCACCCCATCCTTCCTTCCATCCCTCTTCCTCACACCACCACCACACACCACCATCCTCTGTCACCAGCCAGCCACCACACCACACCACACCACATCACACTCACCCAGCATCCCCCACCCCCACCTCATCCATCCATCCATCCATCCAACACACATCTCCTCTCCGTTTCCCCTCTTCTTCTCGCCCTCACCTCTGCTGCTGCTGCTGCTTCTCGCCGAAAATGCAACTTGTGCTGTCGGCACCTGTTCCCAGCTGCAAACAGCCAGCCAGCTTCCGCCAGCAGCAGTGGGCGATGGGTTGGTTGGTTGGTTGGTTGGCTGGTTGGTTGGTTGGGGGATGTGTTCAGCAGCAAGTGGTGGTGGTGCATTCTCTGCTGCTGCTGCTGCATCGGCGGTGGAGGGTGTGTTGGCTGCTGCTGCTGTTGTTGTTGTTGTGATGGCCGTCAGGGAGGGCGAGAAAGAGAGGGAAAGATAAGCAGCGGCTGCAAGGTGGAGAATGTGTAGGTGTACATGCGGTTGTGTGTGAGAACGAAGAATGAGACAGCGCATTAAGCAGAGCAAAGCAGGCAGCCGCACCACACACATGTACACGTTGGTTTCGGACAACAAGGGGAGACAGGAACAGCAGAGACAGCGACCACAACCACAGCACACTGGTGCGGTGCTCATCACATCAACACGCACATGCAGTGCTGCACTCACGTTGTTCATCGCTCGCTTGCTTGTTTGTGGTGTGGTGTGTGTTGGTGCTGCTGCTTCCACAGCCGCACAAGCGTGGCTGGATGGTCATCACATGGCAGCGCCCGTCTGTTCATCCCACCAGAGCAGTGGTGATTGGTGCAGGAGGGGGTGGGGGTGACAGGTGCTGGCTCAAGGCCCTCTGTGGCGACAGCAGAAGGAAGGAGAAACAAGCGTGGAAGGTGATAGTCGTGTCGAGGGTGGGAAGGGAAGGAAGTGAGGAAACACACAAGAAAATGCGAGGTGGTGATGATGGCGTGTGGGTGGGTGGAGAAGAGAACACGCACGTCGACACACACACACACACACCTGCCATGTGTTGTCGCCACTAAACAGGTTGATCCTGGCAGACTCCAAGTGTTGACAGCAGCAAACAACACAGACAAGACACACGAGTGGGCAGATGGTGAGAGTGGTTGAATGGACACGAGAACAAGCAAGCAACGCACACACCACATCACAAACGTCCCCATACTCACTCAACAACTCCTTGTCCCAACGATACACTCCCGCACCTGCGTGCACCTGGGTGGAAAGGGACTTGAAGAACTCCTCAAACACAAACACAACGCGTCTCTGCATCATCTCCACCACCTCATCAGGGATCGACCGCAGGATCCTCGGAAGCTGAACGCAGTTGTGTGTGTGTGTGTGTGTGTGTGTGTGTGTGTGTGTGTGTGTGTGTGTGCGTGTGCGTGAGCGACGTGACATGCAAGCCATCACCAAACAGAATCCCCATCAAAAACCACATCACCCCTCACGCATCACTTCACATCCCCATGTCACCGATCTTTCACCACACCTCGAGGAGCCTGTGCTCGGGGAATGCGAATGCTGAACGTCTCCCAGTCCAGCAGGTCCTGGTAGGGCTGCAAGCGTGCAAAAAGCAAACGCCAATCCATCACATCGCAGCACCATGAGCGACGGGAGGGGTACATCCACCCAGACACACACACACACACACACACACACACACACACACACACACACACACTCACAGAATGTGATACAGATACGCACACTGAGACACACACGGCACACACAAACACGCAAACAATGTACAATCCATCCATACGCACCAGCACGTAGTGATCGACGACAATGACGGGGATGGTACCCGCAGCCATGATCTATGAGGCATGAAAGGGGGTGACAGGAGATGGAAGGTGGTGAGAGCACAAACAGGACCGAAATCGTCTGCAAAACACACACACACACACACACACACTCACTCTCTCTCTCTCTCTCACACACACAAACACACACACACACACACCTGAAGGGGTGGTACCCAAATGCTTCCACGATGAGCCCAAACTTGGTCTCCAGCGCCAGTTCCGTGTACATGTACTTGTTGAACTCTTCCTCTGCCTGCTTACACGAGGGGTCATATCCACCCTTCCCCTCACGGCCCATGCGCTCTTCGCCAAACCACCGACACGCGTACACCCACACAATGCCCCTGCGCATCCACGCACAAACGCAAGTGGTGTGTGTGTGTGTGTGTGTGAGGTGGGTCCAGACAGATACGCACACAGCACCTAAACCAGCTGACTTCGAGGCAACGCACGACACACACGGGAACGCAGTAACACATAACACATCACACGCGTATCACACCACACCTGCCGTTGTGAAGCTTGGAGAGGTGGTTGCGCATGGCATCAAGAACGAGCAGACGTGGTGGTGCCCCTGCACAACAGGGAAAGAAGACACATGTCAAGCAGCGGCACCCCGACAGGTTTGGAGTGAGATCGCAGTGGCACAAGAAGGGCGAGTGGTGGTGCATTAAGCGACACCAACCTCTCAAAACCCAGCAGCAGCAGCAGTGAACATCGAACCCCACATCACACCACGTCACAACACGCACGCATGCACACATGCACAGACCTGAAGATGACGAGGTATTTCCTGTTTGTGCGGGCGGAACGCGTCACTGCTCCGATGTGAATGAATGAATGTCACCATGGAGAAGAATGGCATGGACACATCGAGGCTATCACGGTGGTGGAATTCACTCGGGCCAACCTGATGCAGGTGGTGATGCGAACAAGGCGGCATTGGTGAAGTGTAAGCAACAGCAGTCGTAGATGGTGAGCGTAGGCACGCACAGTCATGTTCCAACACACACACACACACACACATTGTACCTTTGCAAGAATGCCGTGTTCTGCATCCCAGGGGAGACATGGTGCGTCACTGTACTCAAAACAGGATATGGTAGCGGCCCTCGTTCCAATACGCAAGTCTGCCATGCATCATCACATGTGAGCGTGTGTGCGTGTGTGTGTGTGTGTTTGGAAGGCATCCATGAGCGCAGGTCCTCTCGCACGCACGACATCAAGATCCACAAGCACCACCAGCACCACCAGCACCACCAGCACCACAGGCAACAACAAACCACCACCTCAGCTGGAGAGATTGCGCTCGATGGCTGCGCTCACGGGACGCATCGACTCAATGTTGCCAGAGTACGTGCCGTGCATGCAATCTTTCAGTCACAAGCACGCAAACACAATTATGAGGTGGTGGTGGGTGATAGTGACTGCTGTAGAAGCCCGCGCATCTGCACCGACGCGACACACAATCACACACACACACACACACACACACACACACACAGACACACACACACCTTCACACACACATACATACACACACGCCTTCACACCAGCACGACACGTCGGTGCCTGGAACGAAGAGGTAAGCCTTGGACAGGTCATCGGTGCTGTACGGCCGTCACGGATGGCGGTTCGGATGGCGCGGTCGATGGTTGGCAGAGGCGGCCTCTTCATCAGCAGTCAGAGGATACACGTACACCTGCCATAGATGCACGCACGCATGAACACGCAATCATAACACACACGGGCAGACAGAGGGTGTGAGGTCGTCATGCTTCGGTTGCACTCCATGCCACGTCGTTGCTGTTGCTGTGTTGGTGGGTCTTCACCTTGAACGATGGGCACGTGCGAAGAGCATCGACGGATACGCCGTGCGCGGTGATCGCTGACATCAGGACCGCCATTGGCAGTGCGATAGTGCAGCGGCATCTCGGGGCAGTGCGTTCTGGTAACAGTGGTGGTTGTGGTTGAGACGATGGGTGCGTTTGTTGTGTGGTGAGGCACGCGGGTGAAAGGGGATGGGAGGAGTGTTGGGAGATATCTGCAACGAACCGCTGCACACACACACACACACACACACACACACACACACACACACACACACACACACACACACACACAAAAACACATACACACACACACACACACACAAACACACGCACTGTGTCAAAGAGTTCATTCTCTTCGGCAGACATGAAGCTGTAGAGACGAAGGCATGAAGAGAGCCGCACAGAAGGATTGCAAGACCATAGCGAGTGATGAGTGGTTCAGTGTGTGCAGGTACACACCACCACCAGCAGCAGCGGCGGCGTCGGCCGCAATGCACCCGCAACAACAACACAATTCGGTGGTCGCACCTCATGTCACCATCATCCTTGTGCCGGAGCAGCGTCTCCCCTTCCTCTCTTCAGCTGAAGGCCTACTCTGTGGCCCAAACACGCACGAGGAACAGAAATCAGGACCACACATCGCAGCAAAAGATCAAACGATGGCACACGAATAGCAGACAGCAGACGCATGGCAGAATGACCACGTCGACGACCATATGCACACACACATACACATACAGTGTGCGCATACCTTTGAAAGCAGTCGCTCTGTCCCGCCATGAGCAGCACCTTGCCAATGTTACCAACATTCTGCTCCATCGACGCAACCAAGGGCATCCAGTGGATGGCAACCTGGTCGTTAACGGTAGCGAGATGGGTGTTGCAGTGAGCGAGGGAACGTGCGCAAGAGTGATGAGCCGTCATCACACGGTGGCCGAGCGTCATGAGAAACACACACACACACACACACACACACACACACACACACACACACACACACACACACACACGTCGCTCACTGTCATGATGAGACGTGGGCATGCCATCATCTTGCGCATCACGCATGTCCAGCGAGATGATGCCGCGCAAGCGGGCTGTTGTGGGGTGTGTGTGTGCGTGTGAGGAAACCACGTGTGCATGGGGCAGGTGATGAGCACCTACAGCGTGCATGCCATGTAAACTGACTTGATTGCAACCTGGGGGATGAATGATGTGTGACTGTGGTCACGACAGAGGACTGACCGATGTCAGCGCAAATGCTGTGATTGCTCGCCCCTGTACCCCTGTGGAGGTGCGTCCCACTCAAACGTGGCCTTCTGTATTGCTGGTGTCTTGGTCTCCACCACTCTCAGTTGCCGATTCCTGTCTGTTTGTTGTTTACGTGGGAGGAAGAGACGATGCAACCGTGAGAGCACACGTGCCAACGGCAGCAGCACCAGCAGCAGCAAGGCAGCAGCAGTGATAGCAGTGGTTGTGCTTTGGAAATCGGATCACCAGCGTGCACTGATACACACACACGCACAACACACACGAGCGGAGGTGTGATTGCACCCACCTCGCAGGTGGCCGTGAATGACACTGCTAGCCGCTTGCCTTGTGGTGTGCGTGTGTCAGCGGCAAGTGTTGCCAGTGCACCCTCAAGAGCGTTGTTTCTGCAGGCCACTGCCATATCCAATCATAAGAGAACAGCACATGTTCATGTCAGCCAAGCACAACAACGACGACCTGACGACGACGAAACCACCACTTTCAGCAGATCCACAGCCCCCTGCACACATCCTTGTGCCACAAGAAGAAGGAAAGAAGGGAGTCCACACCCACACCCACAACAAAACAGCAACAGCAACAACCGACAGCACTGCCACCACAAACAGGACACCGCGTCCCACGTTCACGTACTTGGTTGCCTGACGCATGGAGCGAACGAATAGCGCCCAAGAAGAAGAAGAACAAGAACAAGAAGTCGAGGAAGGAGCAGTGGGCATGATGTGTGTTGGCTCACCTGGGCATCGTTGACGTGACGCCTGTTTTGTGTGTGTGTGTGTGTGTGTGTGTGTGTGTGTGTGTGTGTGTGTGCATGTGTGTGTGTGTGTGCATGTGTGTCAGAGACCTTTCTTCCACATTGGTCTGGTTGGCTGTTGGTGACTGGGTAGCGATCACCAACAATCCCCTCTTCCCCTCTCCCACATCTCTCTTCTCCCCCATGCTGCTGTTGTGGTGACTGCCACATCACCCCCTCCTTCCTTCCTTGTCTTGCCTTGCCTCGCTGTGTGCACTGCACCAAAGAGAAGAAGAAGAAGCGAGTGCAAGCGAGTTTGGGCTGCCACATCTCCACAGTCGTGTCATCGACTGATTTCAGCTTTCCCGGTCTTCTTCTGCACAAACACGCACAACAGCCGTTTGTCGTGGCTGGTTGCGCGCAATGCACACACACACACACACACACACACACACACACACACGCACACACGCTGCATTCGCTGCGACGAAAGGAAAGGATGTATGGGGAGGTGCGGTTTGGTCACACTCAGCCACAACAACAACCACAACAACAGCAGCAGGGAGCAGCAGGGAGCAGGGGGATATTGATGATGATGACAATGACACATGCAATCCATCAATCAATCAATCAAGCAGACGAGCAAGCAGGCAAGCGAGCAAGCAAGCCAAACAAAGGGACATGTGTTCATTCACTCCGCTTGGACGAGCGACACGCCCACCACGTGGTGCGTGCGTGTGTGTTGTACTCACTGCTCTGCCCTCCTTTACACGGTTCCTCCCTGCCTCGCAGTCCTCTCTCCCTTTCTTTCCTTTGCACACCCCTTGCTTGACCTGCTCTCTGCACACCCTCTCTTCTCCACTCCCCCCCCCTCACTCACACGTCTCAAGTCACCTCCCTCTCACCCCCTCCCCCTTTGCCTTTGGCTGCAACGCTGTGCGTCTTCATCTTCACCACCACCATCTGTGTTGCAGGCTGACGATGATGGTGGCTTGAATGACAGCACCGTGTCCTTGAGCGGGTGCCATCACCGTGTGCCACGACAACAAGAGGCACTACCTTTTCTCTCGCTCTGTCTTGGTATGTGCATGGCTGATGGGGTGGGGGGTGTTGCCTGGGATTTCCACTCCACTGCACTGCACCTCAATCTCAATGTGCTGTGTGACGCGACATGCACACCACAGTTTGCACGCCTCCTTCCCCCACTTATCCCCTCAGCACGCCCTTGTTCTTGTCAGCCACACCCCACATCTCCCACACACTCTCTCTCTCCCCCTTGCCCCTGTCACGATGTGTGCTTGCTTCAGCAGGCCGCTGACATTGTCATCACCGCTGTCAGACTGTGGTCGGTGCCATGCACGGGCATGGAGACAGTGAGCCAGCTCGTGGTCTCCAGCGTGGTGGCTGGAATGTGCACTGAGGTGAAGGATCCCACCACCACACTTCCGCTTCCATGCCGCCATGGCTGACACCACTGGCACTGCTGGTTGACACGCACCAGCAGGCATCGCTCCCAGCGCCACACAAGAGGTGTGTGTGGGTGTGCGTGTGTGTGTGTGTGTGTGTGTGTGTGTGTGTGTGTGTGTGTGTGTGTGTGTGTGTGTGTGTGTGTGTGTGTGAGTGAACATGTGTGAACATGTCGCTTCGTCGCTTCTCTCCTTTCTCCACTTTCGCCTTGCCAAGCCTCACCGCTGCCCCTTGTCGTCCTGCCGCGTTCAGGCTGTTGAGGCGCTGCTCGCTGTGATCCAGGGTGCCCGGCTCCCGCGAATCGCCCAACACCAGCGCGACCGAGAACTGCATCTCCGCCTTTGTCAAGATTGCACGCAACCCAGCACACGGCCTCTCAAAGGTGTGTGTGTGTGTGTGTGTGTGTGTGTGTGCGTGTGTGTGTGTGTGTGTGTGTGTGTGTGTGCGCGCGCGTTGCTACACTCCTTCTTCGCCGTCCTTTTTGCTTTGGTTGTTTGCTCTTGTTGTCACGTTTTCGTCGCTTATTCTTGACCTCCTCATCCACCCATCTACTACCAACCCTTGCACAGACGAGATGCTGACGCATCTGCTTGACTGGCTGCCCATTACAGAAGACGACGATGAAGCAAAGTGCATCTACACATACCTCGTCGAGCTCTTTTAAGCGTGAGTGCTACCACTGTGTTTTGTGAGTGTGTGTGTGTGTGTGTGTCTATGTGTGTGTGCATGGCCTGGTCGTGCTGCATGTGTCGGTGGTGTGCTCTGTCGCCTGTCGTTCTTGTTCCCGACTGACTCTCCCGTCCCCCTCCTCATTGCTTCCTGTACCTCCCTCTCCTTCCTTTTGTTGTTGCTTCTGTAGGCAAGATCCACGCGTGACCGCGCCTGAGAGCCCGGTGAAGATTGTGCGTGCATTTGTTTGTGCAGGTGGTTGGCACCCCCGCGGCCGCCGTCGACGAGCCCCACTGCCAGGGCATGTACACAGCCTCATGGTGCGTGGGTTGTGTTGTGTGTGATTTATGTGATGTGTGTGTGTGTGTTTGCTGCCTCGAAGATGCGCGATTGTCGTGTACTTCGTGTACTTTCCCATCCTCTTCCTCCCTCTTCCTCCCTCCTCCTCTTTCCTCTCCTCATTCTCACGCCCTCGTGTCGTTTCCTCTCGTAGAACATGCAGGATTCGCCTGCCCACGGTGTGTTGGGGCAGTTGATGCAGGATCCCGAGGCGCACGCCCGCGTGCAGCGCGCTGTTGAGGCGCTTGGCTCGTCCACATAGTCGCCATGTTGTGATGTGTCGTGTCAACTTGTGCACCAGTTGAACGAATGGCTGAATGTCTGTCGGTTCCTCTGTCGCATTCCTCTTGTTTCCGTTTCTTGCTCTCTTCCCTCTTCTTCTCTTCTCTTCTTCTGTTCTGTTCTTCCCTTCCTTCACTCTCCCTCTCGCCTGCCTGCTTGCTTGCTTGCTTATGTCACGCCCTTCTTGTGCTTGCCTGTTCTTTTCATTGTATGGCGCTGTGTACGGCTGAACACGTTCTTGGTGTGTTTGGTGGATGTGTGCTGCTGCTGCTGCTGTGCGTATTTGATTCTGGCTTGTGACTGGAGGGTGTTGTTTGATGTGCAGAGGGGCTGGCTGTTGTTTGGTTGGCTTGGCTTCATGTTGCGTTTGGGCACTGTGTGTGTGTGGATGTGTGTTGGGAGCGTTGTTTGTGGGTTGTGTGGCGGACCTGTTCTTTCCTCAGTAAATGGCTCGATGACGATGATGAGATCCGTTGACGGTGATGATGGTGGAGCGGCGGTGATGTTTGTGGTGTTGATGTGGCTCCAGACATTGGTGTGTTGTACCGACCAGGCAAGGCCAAGCCAGGAAGGAGCGGCTGTTGTTCCTTTTGGCGACAAAGCGAGTCGGGTAGTTGTTGCCGGCTGGCTGGAGGCACTTTATCCTGTGTGTTTGTTGTGTTCCTGTCGACAACGAGGGCTCGAATGAGATTGTTGACGAACATCTTCCACGGAAGCGCTGCTGTGCGGATAACCTCTGTAAGGTTTTGCGAATCGTCCAATGGCTGAGTCGCAAAACAACAACACACAAACAAAACAAACAAAGAAGAAGGAAAACAAACGAAGCAGCGCGTTAAGTTGTCGTCCTCCATTTTGTCGTCTTCTTCCAGAGCACGTCACAACAAGCCACAAGGAGAAAAGACGACGCGCTGTCGCCATGTCCGGCGGAGAGAAGAGAGCGAGGGAGGAGGTGGAGGCGTTGCTGGCGCAGACGAAGCTGACGGATCGAGTGAAGAATAAGATCAGGGCCATCGCCAACAACACGTGTGGGGACAATGTGGGGTGAGTGCAAAAGCAACCAAAACGACGTGTTGCAACATGCATGCCTGCATTGGACACAAGGCCACTTCTTGTGGTTGTGCTTGTGCTTATTCTTCCCCCCCCCCTCTCTCTCTCTGCTTGGCTTGTCCTTGTGTTGCAATGAGCTTGGTGTGGCTTGCTGTTGGGTGTTCACGTGTGCGTGTCCTGTCCCCTCGCACCACCTGGACACATCAACAGAGAGTGTGTGTGCGTGTGTGTTTGTGGCAGGTTGTGACTGGCACCCTCATGGTTTTGCTCTGTGTATCCTCAGTCTTCTTGCTCATTTCATGACACACACCATTTGAAATTACAGCTTGAATAATGATGGCCTCGGCGTCATTGGGGCGCGTGCGGTGGCCAAGGCGCTCAAGGACAACACCTGCCTCAAAACGCTCTTGTGCGTGGTGATGATGAATCTGCATCGTGTGACATGCATGGTTGATTGGGATGGCGGTGTTGCATGTTGCACCCCTTTCTCCTCCCCTGCTTGCGCATGTTTGGACGTGTGTTCACCGTCGCTCCCTGCGGTTCTTGTGTGTCTGCACAGCCTGCACAACAATTCCATCGGCGATGAGGGCGCCGTGGCGTTGGCGGAGATGCTGAAGCACAACACGGCCCTCGAAGAACTCAAGTGAGTGTGGACACGCACACACACACACACATGTATGCTGCGTCACTGCCGTTGCACCTTATCACGTGCACATGTGTGGCTGATGGGGTGGGGTTCAACGACTGTGTTGCCACCCACAACAATCATCATCACGCACTCACTCACTCTTCCTCATCCATGTGGCATCATCGCCCTTCGTGGCATTATACCATCTGGACAGCCTGCAAAGCAACTCCATCGGCGATGAGGGCGCTGTGGTGTTGGCGGAGATGCTGAAGCACAACACGGCCCTCGAACAGCTCTTGTGAGTTTGAACACACACGCATGCACGAAGGCACCCGCTTTGAGCATGTGTGCATGTGGTTGTGCACGTCTGCAGCAGGCGCGCTGGCTGTTTGCCACCCCATGTGCTCGCCGCCCCCATCCCTCCTGCTCACCACCGCGTATGCTGTCACTGACCTCCCACTCCTCACTCCTCTCTCTTGTGTGTACACAGCCTGATGAGCAACCGCATCGGTCCTGAGGGCGCTGCGGCGTTGGCGGAGATGCTGAAGCACAACACGACCCTCGAAGAACTCTAGTGAGTGTGCACACGCACACACACACATGTATGCTGCGTCACTGCCGTTGCACCTTATCACGTGCACATGTGCCCATGTGTGGATTGATGACTGTGTTGTCACCCACAGCAATCATCATCACGCACGCACTCACTCTTCCTCATCCATGTGGCATCATCCCCCTGTGTGGCATTATACCATCTTGACAGCCTGAGTGAGAACTCCATCGGTCCTGAGGGCGCTGTGGCGTTGGTGGAGATGCTGAAGCACAACACGACCCTCACATGGCTCGGGTGAGTGTGTACACGCACACATGCACACATGTATGCTGCGTCACTGTCGTTGCACCTTATTACGTGCACATGTGCCCATGTGTGGATTGATGACTGTGTTGCCACCCACATCAATCATCACGCTCTTCCTCACCCATGTGGCATCATCCCTCTGCCTGGCACCATACCGTCTTGACAGCCTGGAACGCAACCGCGTCGGCGATGAGGGCGCTGTGGCGTTGGCGAAGGTGCTGAAGCACAACACGACCCTCGAAATACTCATGTGAGTGGAAGCTCCTCTTTGCAATGTGTGTCTTCAGGCGCTTCTTCTGCAGTACACATGTGCAGATCGAGGCACCGCAAGCCGCCCACGATGTCTGTGCGACATGCTTGTCCAACCAACAAATGCTTCCATCCTTCACCTGTGCCACAAGTGCTGCCACGTCTTGTGCAATTTGCATTTTCCCCCTTCTCCCTTTGCTTCCGCCATTGTGACTTCAATGTCGTAGGACCTGATGTGCGAGCGAGTACACGTGCACGTGATCCATCTGCAACCCACTTTCATCCATGACCCGTGTTGCTTGCCCACCCGTTCCCCCTGCTCTTCCAACATGCATTTCTTGCCACTTGCAGCTTGGATAACAACTCCATCACCCCGGTTGGCGGTGCGGCGCTGGGTGCCGCACTGGACGAAAACCGCACGCTGTCTCGGCTTGAGTACGTCAATTGCGTTGCGCCTGCCTCATGAACGCCTGTGTCCTGTTGTGGATTTGTGTGACCAATCGCCACTCTTTTGAGTGCACGCCACACTGCAGATCGAGGCACCGCAAGCCGCCCACGATGTCTGTGCGACCATGCTGTCCAACCAACAAATGCTTCCATCCTTCACCTGTGCCACAAGTGGTGCCACGTCTGTGCAATTTGCATTTTCCCCCTTCTCCCTTTGCTTCCGCCATTGTGACTTCAAATGTCGTAGGACCTGATGTGCGAGCGAGTACACGTGCACGTGATCCATCTGCAACCCACTTTCATCCATGACCCGTGTTGCTTGCCCACCCGTTCCCCCTGCTCTTCCAACATGCATTTCTTGCCACTTGCAGCTTGGATAACAACTCCATCACCCCGGTTGGCGGTGCGGCGCTGGGTGCCGCACTGGACGAAAACCGCACGCTGTCTCGGCTTGAGTACGTCAATTGCGTTGCGCCTGCCTCATGAACGCCTGTGTCCTGTTGTGGATTTGTGTGACCAATCGCCACTCTTTTGAGTGCACGCCACACTGTGTGTGTTCCTCTCTGCTTGCTTGCATTTCTCCACAACCCTAACCACCAACCCTCCTGACCCACACACCACACTTGCTGCTTGTTCCCAACCACACGCTACCACCACATGTCCTCGTTCAGCATCGAGGAGAACTCCACCGCCACCGCCCGCGCCTTTGGTGCCGCGCTGCCCGTCGACCGAGAACTCAACACAGACTGGTCAGTCAACGCGTGCTTCCACTCTAGTCGTTCGCTCCTTGCCTTCTCTCGACCCTTCTCCTCACACACACACACACGCTGCATGATGCTTGCGTTTAATTTTGCGTGAGATCACAGGGGTGATGACCGTGAGGGCAACGCCGCCTTCGATGAAGCACGCAAGGAGAAGAAACGACGACACCATGAGCAACTGTTTGCCGCCTGCAGGGATGGCGACGCTCCAGCTGTCACGTCCCTCATCGAACAGGACAATGCAGATGTCAACCAACATAATGAACAGGTATGTGCATTGTGTGTGTTGTGCTTGTATGTGACGGCGCTCGCTCATGGTTGCACCGGCCGTGTGTTCGTTTCCAACAGATCCTCACCACACGTGCCATGCCCCTTGCTTGCCCCACCCAATAACAGGGCGACACGCCGCTGCACGTTGCCTGCAGGCACAACCAGCCCGCCGTCGTGGAGCTACTCCTGAAGAAGGGCGCAGACACTGCCGTCAAGAACAAGAAGGTGTGCTTCGCGTCGTGTTGCTGTTTCTGAAGACGTGACACAACTGCTTCTTTGCTTTGCGCTGTGCCCCCCCCCTCTCCCTGCTTCCCTCCTTCCTCAACTCATGCGTTTTACCTTTCCAACACACGCAGGGAGAGACGCCCTATGATGTGGCACAAGCCAGCGGTCATACTGCCATCACCAGCATCCAAGGGCTGAAGTCAGGCGGCAAACCCCAGCAACAACCACAGCAACAACAGCAGCCAAAACAAGAGCCACCTGCGCCCACTCCTGCCGCCGGACCGAAGCAAGAAGAACAAGCAGCGCAAGACGTGAGTTATCAGAAGAGTGCTTGCCAGCAACGCACAAGCAAATGCATCACGTCACCCATACCATTCCTTCATCACGCTCTCCCTGGTCTCGTATCAAGCATAATCATGATGTCTCACACAACCATCACCACCGCCGCGACCAGCACCACCATCAGCAGCAGCCCGAACAGGCGCGCAGGGAGCGTCTCCAGCAGCGCATGCGGGAGGTCATAGCACGCTTCAACGCGACCATGGCGGGCAGGGCCAAACTCATCTTCATTGGTCAGGGGCGCGCCGGCAAGACTTCCACGTTCCACTCACTCATGGGTCACACCTTCAACAAGCATGAGCACTCCACGCATGGCGCCGCCTCAACCGACCTCGCCGTCATTGTCGAATCAATGGACGTTCACGACTGGCAGGTGTGTGAGTGAAGCTGATGCGAGCATGTGATGTGTGCGACGCATGGGTGTGAAGAGAGGTGGTGGTTGACACGATCATCCCCTCACACACACACACACACACACACACACACTGCAGGAGCTGGATGCGGAGATCTCGGAGCTGATGCGCAGTCTCTGCGGCACGGCGCTGGCGCAGGAATCTGGCGTGGACTTGCAGATGAAGCAGGCGATGATGAAGGCGAAGGCGAACTTTGAGAGCCGCATCGCCCAACACCATCAGCAACAGCGGCAGCAGGAATCTGATAAAACACCGAAAGCAGCGGCTGCCAAGCTGAAGCAAGGACAGTCACAGCAGTCAATGGAGACGCGGTCACGGCCATCATCCCGCACGTCGCCAGCGACTGTCCCAAAGCCCAGCAAGACGCCTCACATGTGTGCGTCTGCACCCAAGAAGCAGACCACCCTAAACCCTTCCAGCCAAAGTGATGCTGCTGCGCGTGACAACAGCACCACTGCCACAACCGGCATGTCTGCGGAGGAAATGGAGAAAGCGATCAAAGAGTTCAACGTGGACGCCGTCATGGGCGAGGGCAAAGCGCGCGTCACGTTCAAGGTGTTTGACCTGGGCGGCCAGTCCACCTTCTACATCTTCCACCCTTTCTTCCTCACCAAGTGAGCCACTGTGTGTGTGTGTGTGTGTGTGTGTGTGTGTGTGTGTGTGTGTTGGCCTCCTCACTCACTCACCCCAATATATTCCAACCCCCCCCCCCACCACACATACAACCCACACCAGGTACGCGGTGTACCTGCTGGTGTTCTCCATGGAGGACCTGTTGCACGAAGACGAGAGCCATCGGGCAGAGGCGTGGGAATTTATGGAGCACTGGCTCTCCTCCCTCCACCTCCACGCCAAGGGCGCACCCGTCCTCATCGTGGGCACCTTCGCTGACAAGATCAACGAGAGGAAGCAGCACGAGAACATCTCACGCGACATCTACAGCCGCCTGCGCCACAACCCCGCTTTCCCTGGCGTCATCCACAACGACAAGCATGGCCTGTGGTTCTGGCCTGTCGACAACACCAAGTCCATCAATGACCCCATCATCCAGGACCTGCGCCAGACCATCTCCTCCACAGCACTGGCGCAGGAGTACGTGAGCCAGGAGGTGGCGGTGCCGTACCTCCACCTCTACGACAAGCTCAACGCCATCGCCCGCGACGAGCAACGGCCACTGCTCACGTTTGATGAGGTGGTGCAGATTGCGCGCACGTGTGGGCTGCGCACACGTGAGGAGACGAAGGCCTGCCTCCAATTCCTCCACCTGTACTCGATGGTGCTGTACTACGACCACGTGCCAGGCATGGAGGATTTCGTGATCCTGAGCCCGCAGTGGGCGGTGGATACAATGACCCGCGTCATCCGTAACTTTGACCTGCACCACGACGTGCGTGATGGTGCGGCGAGGGCCGTTGGCGCGCAGCTGTGGGACGACCTCGTTGACCGCGGCATCCTGCACCGCCGTCTACTTGATGTGCTGTGGAGGGACTTGGAAGGTGGCATGGTTGAGCCCTTTCTCCAACTCATGATGGAGTACGGGTTGTGTATCCAGTACACAGCGCCAATGGTGCTGCTGTCCAGCCACCAACAGCAGCAACACCACCAGTACCTCGTCCCAGCCATCCTGCCGATGACGCTGGAGGATGAACAGGCGTCCTCGTCGGTCACGCTGAGCACGGCAGCAGCACAGCAGGCCAATCCATACGCTGGATATGAAGAGAAGACAGCCTACGTCGCCTTCAGCCTGAGAGAGTTCAAGAGGGGTGTAAGCGCCAAGATTGCAGACACGCAGCAAGCCTCTTTCCTGCCAGAGGGCCTGTTCCCGATGGTTCTGGCACGCGTGATGGCACACATGCAACACGGTGCAACGGAACCGCCCATGTTGAGCCGCACAGACGCCGTGATCTTCATGGATGCTGCTGAGATCGAGATGCAGCTCGTGCCGGCTGTTGGCGGCATCAAGATCAAGGTCATGACTGCACGTCCTCGCACGCTGCTGCACATGCTGTACGACACCATCACAACAGCTGTCACGCAGCGCTACCCCGAGCTCAAGGCCACGTTGCTGCTGCCATTCAGTGACACGAGACTGCTGTTCTTCGAGGACGTGCACACCCACCACATGACCCCTTACCCTAAAGGGCTTGAGAGCCTAAGGAGCACGGCAGCAGCACAGCAGCTCAATCCATACGCTGGATATGAAGAGAAGACAGCCTACGTCGCCTTCAGCCTGAGAGAGTTCAAGAGGGGTGTAAGCGCCAAGATTGCAGACACGCAGCAAGCCTCTTTCCTACCAGAGGGCCTGTTCCCGATGGTTCTGGCACGCGTGATGGCACACATGCAACACGGTGCAACGGAACCGCCCATGTTGAGCCGCACAGACGCCGTGATCTTCATGGATGCTGCTGAGATCGAGATGCAGCTCGTGCCGGCTGTTGGCGGCATCAAGATCAAGGTCATGACTGCACGTCCTCGCACGCTGCTGCACATGCTGTACGACACCATCACAACAGCTGTCACGCAGCGCTACCCCGAGCTCAAGGCCACGTTGCTGCTGCCATTCAGTGACACGAGACTGCTGTTCTTCGAGGACGTGCACACCCACCACATGAACAAGAAAGCGCTTCGCGTTGGCCGCTCACAGCTGCTGTCACCAGGAGATCTGGTCGCCAAATATGGACCACTCTTGCCAGTTATGGGTCAGCAGGACAAATACGATGCCTTCATCAGCTACAGGTGGGAATGTGTGAATGTGTGTGTGTGCATGTGTGTACATTGCGAACTGGGTGTCTTTCCTTCCCTCTCTCTCTCTCTCTCTTCCTTTCTCATCCCGGCATTCACCACCACGTCACAGGCAACGCGGCAACCGGGGTTTGGTGATGACCCTTCACCCAAGGTTGGAACAGCACGGACTGGTGACCTTTGTGGACACCAACAACTTGGAGACAGGCGTCAACTTCAAGCATGCGTGCATGACAGCCCTGCACAACAGTGCTGTCGCCTGCCCCGTCGTCTCTGTCGGTGCCATCCATCAGATGCGCTCGCTCGGCCACAGTGACACGTGCGATAACGTGCTGTTGGAGTGGATGGCCATGCTGGAGTTGCAGCAGCTTGCTCGCCAGCACCAGGACCAGATCCGCCTTCGCCGCATCGTCCCGCTCTTCGTTGGCAGTGGCTGGCACGACAGCAACCACCATGTTATGAGCGCGGCGGAAGTGAGCGAGTACGACTCGTTTGACCGCCTGAAGCGGCTGGCAACGAAGCTGCCGGATGTTGTGAGCAAGAACACGACGTCAGCGCTGGACCAGTACTTTTCACAGGTGCTGCGCCTGCCACCCCCACAGCAGCACAAGAGCGTGCGTGAAGTGGTGCTGTCGCTATTTGACGTTGATGCGGTGATTGCGGTGGATGCCGGCGTGGACCGCACGTCGCAGCTGCGCGAAATTGCAGAAAAGGTGCGCCAGGTTGTCGTCTCTGCCAGGAGCGAGGAGCAAGCAGCTCAGGAGCCAGCAGCTGCACGTCGTTCCACGCAGGTATGGTTTTGTGTGTCTGCAGATATGCAAGCGTGCGCTTCTCTCTTCCACTTGGCACGCGTGCTATGTCTCACTCAACCCCTCTTTCCCATCTGTCCTGCAGTCATCTTCCTCGGTCTCCACCGCTACCACTCCTGTTACACCACCACCTGCCTCCTCATCGTCCTCCTCATCTTCGCCATTTGATCCCGAGTTACTTGAATGGCTCAATCGCCACTCGCTGCTGCCGCACGTCGAGTCCGCCCTGGTTGAGCACGCTATCGACGATCTTCACGTGCTGGTGGCGCTCGTTCAAATGGGGGAGCTGACCATGCAGATCCTCAAGGCATCTGGTGTGCCAATGGGTGCTGCCTTCAAGCTGATTCGGGAGGCAAAGAAGTGCGACGTGGACAGTTCTGTGTAGTGTGACGGGTTATCGGCCCTGTTACCTCCTGTTCTGCGCTGAGTTATTTCTGTTCTCTTCCGTCTTTACCTTGTATGCCTTTCATCGATTCCATACGCCCGACTGTCGTAGACCACCGCTTGCACCGCTTCTGTCCCCTGTTTCTCCTCCTCTCACTCCTTGCCGACGTGGCGCCAAGGCGTGCTTCTTGTTGCTCTGCACCTTCCGTGCTTTCGTTGCCCTCCTGTGTCATGTCCCCACTTTTTACTTCACCTTTGTTCCACATACATCCTCCTTCAGTTCAGAATCCACATACGCATCACCCACCTCACATGGGTTCCCATCCACACCACAGCCTGCTTGTCATCACGTTCCACGTCAACCATCCATTTCACACCACACACAAGTATGAACGCGTCAACTGACTTTGATGTGAATGTGTATTGGACATGACACGTCAACAAAGCAAATGAACAACCCTTCCACCTCACACAAATCTTCATCTACCGACCCCCTACCCACGCTCATCGACGTCAGGCCACCGCTGATGGTAGGTTGTGGAGTAGCAGTTGAGCAGCACAACGCAGCCAACATCCGACAGCCCGTGCATATTGTCAAAGGCGTAACTCTGCAGAACCGGTCGCTAAATGCCTTGGAAGCAATCAAATCCAAACATGGCACACTTGTAAAGGTGGCACTTGAACACTTCTTTGCAGCCTTTCGATCGACACAACACCACGATCCCACTCCCCCCCCCCCAAGCTCCGAGAAGACCCGAGCCCACAACACCACCAACGACAACAACAACAACAACAACAACTTAAACAACAACAACAACGGCGGCTGCAATTCCACACCGCACAGAGGCGACTTCTGGCGTCAGTTGATCGTGGGTGGCATTCACATGCAAACGGTGTACTGGTGTCACAAAGAAAGGCAGGCATCAGCACATACATGCAAGCAAGCACCTGCTCTCGGTCACAAGCACATGTGCAGTTCAAGCAATCACGAACAAGCACGGCTAATCACGTCAAACAGCACAGGCAGCTGCTTGAGATGCTGCTCGAAACAAGGCAAAAGAAGCAACAGCAGCATCAGCATCAGCGTTCGTTACACGTCACCCAGCAAAAGCAACGGGAATCAAGGCAGGTACATCAGTGGCCCACCACCCAATCAACAAATGCAATCAAAAACTGCACCATCATCATCATCATCATCATCATCATCATCATCATCATCATCATCATCATCATCATCATCATCGTCATCATCATCACGCAGCAGACTCCTCGTCCACTGTTTCCAACCCGGGATCGGTGTCACCGCCGTTCATGTGTTGTTGCGTTAAGCTGTCGATGCACGCACGAAGCGCAACGTTCACCGTCTCCAGCTTGTCTGACGCGATGGATCTCGCCTTGCCGGATGCACTGGCGTCTTGCATCAGCTTCTCCACGCAAGACGCAAGATGCTTCTGCAGCTCGCCGAACTGCGCGTGCATGTCCGACACGCTTGCCTTTGACATGGTTGCCCTACAGGAGTGTGCATGTGCGTGCGTGTGTGTGTGTGTATGAGTGCGTGCGTGTGTGTGTGTGTGTGTGTGTGTGTGTGTGTGTGTGTGTGTGTGTGTGTGTGTGTGTGTGTGTGTGTGTGTGTGTGTGTGTGTGCGTGCGTGTGTGTGTGTATGAGTGTGTGCGTGCGTGTGTGTGAGCAAGGATATTCAACAATTAGCGAGCACGCAGTCAAGCCACTGCAGCAACCCGCTCCTTTCGCCCACCACGACAACCATCAACGAGCAACACACCTGCGTTGGATGCTGTGCATTTGTATTTTGTAGATCCGGAACGCTTTCCTGGTCAGTGGCAGTGATCCTGTCCAAAAGACAATCGAAGTGGAGGAAGAGGCGCGTGTGTGTGCACGTGCGTGTATTTGCGTGAGTGAGTATTTGAGTGTGCATGTATTTGTGAGAGTTTTGTTTGTTTGTGTGTTCATGTGAGTGTGTGCGTGTTCTTCTTCTCTCGAATGTCTCATGAAATGCGTTGACAGGGTCAACACCATTCCAAGCCCCTCCTCCTCCTCCTCCTCCTCCTCCTACCACCACCGTACCCTGTGCGAGCCTGGCCTGGTCGTCGATGAGAATGCTCTGCTCAATCTCGGGCCAGATGCGCGGCACCTGCGCCAGACTCCGCAGGTACTCTCCGTCCTTCGCATCCTCCACAAACGGCTGCACGTCCATCGTGGCCATATGGAAGGTGGTGGAAGGTGGTGGAAGGTGGTGGAAGGTGAATTGGCGTGCAGAGCGACAGCAAAACAGGCGACATGCGTAGCGGCGTCCTTGTACACACACCCCCCCCACCACACACACACACACACACACACGCACGCACACACACACACAACACAGCACACACACACACACACACATGCACAACACAAGACAACACGGCACAGCGCACGTTTGGGAGCGGGAGGCGGAGGCGGTACGAGATGGAGCAGACGGGGAGAATCTGCTGCGATTCGTACACAGCAACCTGAGGTGCGTGATTATGATTGTGATTGTGTTTGTTCGTGGGTGTTCGTGGGCGGGTGATGTTCGCACGTGATCATGTTTGTTCGTGGTTGATGTTCGTATGTGTGTGTGTGTGTGTGTGTGTGTGTGTGTGTGTGTGCGTGTGTGTGTGTGTGTGTATTTGGGTGTGAGAAGTCGTGCCATGGCTCAAGTTTGAACATGCAGGTGACTCAGCACAACACACAACCACAACCACAAACACACTCGAAAGCAACCCGTAACCCCCATCCACCCCCAAAGCACCACCCCCCTGCTTGCCCCCCCCCCACTCCGCTTATCGCGGGTGTGTACCTGCTTTAGCTTTGGCCCTGCTGCGCTGTGGCAGCCGACGGGTGGGGAGGTGTTCTGTGGATGTGCGAGGTCGATGTTTGGCATCATGATGGGGTCCTGACGCGTCACTTGATCGTCCAGATACAGCGACTCACGCACCCCAGTCTGGTTCATAGTGATGGCGGTGACGGACGGTTAGGTGGTGGTGGTGGTGGTGGGATGGTGAGTGATGGTGGGAATGATGCTGCTGCTGCTGCTGCTCGTGCAATCGCACAGCGGTGGTTTGTGATGTTCACACACACACACACATGCACACACACACCTGGCCAAGCATGACGAGGACAGCAACGACGCGGCGCGTGCCGCTGGCGTCGGGCGGTGTGTAGTGCGACACAATCTTTCCATCAGGGAAGCAGTAGTACGCATCGCCAAGTGGGGAGGGCAGGCCACTGAACGCGCTCGTCTGGGGTCCCGCCTCAAGCAAGTGGTCGAGGTCGTGGCAGGGGTGGAACAGAACACGACACGTTGGCGGATAGCCGTGTGTCCGCTCCCACTTCTGGTACTGTTTGTTTGGTAATGATGATCATGGTGGTTTGGTGGTGATGTGTGGTGGTGCGTGGTGGCAACGTGTGAGAGGGGTGACAGAATGATAAGGACACAGTAATAAGAAGTAATGTGACACCGCCAGCCACCAGTGTCACACACGCGCGCAAAACGTACGCGTACACACACGCACACACACACACACTCTCTCTCTCACACACACTCACACACATACACACGCACACACACACACAAACACACACACAGTAGGCGCACGCACATCAGTCAATCATACCTTGGCCACGAAATCCCTAACGGCAGCCTCACGCATGCACAGGGTAGCCGTGAGGTTGAGGAGGAGATCAGAGCGGAAGCAGGCAGCAAAGCTTGCGGCCACAGCATCCTCCACCATCTCCACAGCATCGATTTCGCCGCCGGAACAGAGATCCAGCAGCTGGGAAACGCTCTCGGCCTCAGCCGTCGTCGTGTTGCGACGCGAACTCCGCTCCTCTGCAACGTGGTACGGTCGTGTCATGGTGAGAAAGTGTGTGTGTGTGTGTGTGTTTGCATGTGTGTGTGTGTGTGTGTTTGCATGTGTGTGTGTGTGTGTGTGTGTGTGTGTGTGTGTGTGTGTGTGTGTGTGTGTGTGTGTGTGTGTGTGTGTGTGTGTGTGTGTGTGACTGCCGTGAAGAAGTCGAGACGAGAAGAGGCTTCGAGATCCCCTCGCCTGTGGCGTCGTTTACCACCCCCCCACACACACACATATGCAGCACCCCATGCTTTCCATCCCTTTGCCTCCAGCAACAACAATGCACCTGGCTTGTCTGCGTCGATGGTGACTGGGTTGACACCGCCAGTCTGCTGTGCGAGTGCAGTCCACTGCTCCCTGATGGCACCGAGCACGCGCTGCCCGTCCTGCGCCGTCGAGAAGAACATGAAGAACGTGCGGTGCGGCACAACCTGCGGGCGGTGGGCACGTGTTTGGAACAGAGTTGCGAGGTTGTTGTGATAGTGATACACGTTGAGTGGTGAGATGTGAGCTGTGGGAGTCATGTGGTCATGCATGTTGAAGTGTGAGCTGTTGTGAGCTGTTTCGTCATCGTGCGTGTGTGTTGGACTCACGATGGCCATGGGGTAGTTGCTCTTGCTGAGTTGGGGCCAGTTGGGCGCCGTGTTGGGCCACTTGCGGCTCTTGTTCAGGCACTTTCTTCTGCCGGCAACAACTTGCACTGTGGATTGGGAGGGGGGAGGTGATAAGGCGTGGGTTTGGGAATGCACGAGCACCCAGTGGTTTGGATGCATATGCACGTGCAGCTTATGGGGGGGGGGGTGTTGAACACATGCACGCAGCGTGAAACGCACACACACACACACACAGCACATCATATCACACACACACACACACACACACACACACACACACACACACACACACACACACACACACACATCACATCATATCACACACACAACATCATTTCATACACACACAGCATCACACACTCACGGAGGGAGCTGAGTTGGATGACGCCCTTGGGCGGATACGAGTCCTCGTCCTCATGATAGGCGATGATGTCGCGGTTAACAACGAGCCAGCGCCGCTTCCAGAGCTTGAGCATGCCGCCTTGCTTCCACATGTATGCGCTCACGGGCGCAGCGCTTGAGCCGGCGCCATTGCTTGTGGCTGACAGAGGCGCAGCGGTGGAGGACGACGACTTGCGAGGCGACTTGAACCGTGACATGATGATACTTCGTGCACTTGTGTGTGTGTTGCGCGTACTGCGTGTTGTGTGCTCTGTACTGTGGTGGCCTGAAAGAGAGGGAGAAGGAACGCCACGCACTCTACACAGTAAGCGTTCGCTTCAACTCAGTCTCACTTGAGATGAGGAACCAGTCCCAGGACACTGAGACAGTGGGTGGTGGCTGCTGGTTGAGATGCTGCTTGTGTTGTTTGTCTTTCGTTGCCGTCGTCTCCGCTCCAGCTGGATTTGTGCTGACTCAGCAACAACGCTTGCAATTCAAACACCATAAAGTGTAGTGAACACGAGCCCACGCACCGACACCACACACACACACACACACACACACACACACACACACACACGTGCATCAACCACGAACACACACAACCACCATGGATGACAAGCAGCAGCAGCAGCAGCAGCAGCAGCAGCAGCAGCAGCAGCAGCAGCAGCAGCAGCAGAATCAGCGGGACGATGAATTGGCAGAAGTCGGCGCTGATGACGCGCTCGAAGTGATTGAGGTGGATAACACTGGCATGGACATGGAGGATGACGATGATGATGACGATGGTGATGATGGTGCTGACATGATGGACGGCGACGATGATGGTGATGCGAGTGAACAAGCACAGCAGCAGCAGCAGCAAGCAGAAGGAGACAAGGGCGAGGAGAGGCACGCCAACCCATCTGCCATCTTTGAGAACCACACAAGTGAGCTTTGGGAGATGCGTGTGTTGTGTGTGCATGAGAGAGTGTGTGTGTAAGTGCGTGTGTGTGTGTGGATATGTGCGTGGATATGTGTGTGTGTGTGTGTGTGTGTGTGTGTGTGCGTATTTGTACATTAGTGTGTATGTGTGTAAGTGTGTGCACTTGCGCATGAGTGTGTCTTTGGGGAGGGGGCATATGCACTTTGTTTTCTCTGTGCTCCTTAATACATGTCTCTTCACACGTGTGCGCGTGCCGAGTTACTCCAACCAGCTTGCATCAGCTCACAATTCAGCTCACCACTCACCGTGCCATTACCGCCTGCCCCATCCAACTTGATTTCCTTGTCTCGCGCAGGCGCGGTCTTTGACGTGGCCGTTTCCCCCGATAACACAATTGCGCTCTCTGGGTCGCAGGATGACACAGCGGTACTCTTCAACCTCAAGGACGGAAACATCATCCACACATTCGACAGTGCGTTTTTGCCACCTATGTCACGCATGAGCTGCACGGCGTCCCCCTTGCGTTCATGATGAATTGACTGTCTGTAAAGGCGTCACAGCCTGCAACAACAGCTACAGCTTGCGACAACCTGCGACAGCCTTCAGCAGCATGAAACAGCCCACTGCAACCCACCTGCAGATTGCCACCGCGCCAAGAACAAGAGCCACCATCACTCATCCTCCTCCTCCTCCTCCTCCCCTTCTGTCTGCTGCCTCTTCTTGCCGCGTGTATGTGCATGTGTGCGTGCGTGTGTGCATGTGCACGTGTATTTTTTTTTTGTGTGTGTGCGTGTGTATTCTGCAGACCATCACGACAGCATCATTGCCACGGCATTTTCACGCGACGGCGCCTTCTTCGCCCTCGGATGCATGGACGGCAGTGTCAGGTGAGCCCATGGCACTCCAACCACCAACTACCACCACCACGAGCACAGAATTGCATTGCCTGCGCTGTGGCAACGCCACGTTGATGACCCGTCTCCAGCTCGCGTGCGTGCATGCGTGCATGTATGCGTGTCAGTCATCAACAGTGCCTGGTACAGTCCTCTCACGTCCGTTATTCCCCGTTCCTCCACCACTCTACACCATGATCCCCATCACCACATATCACCGCCGTCAGCGTGTGGTCCAACAAGTGCGAGAAGCTGCTGGATCTTGATCTCGGCGATGATCTCACGGTAAAGCGAGAATGCGTCTATGCATGCGCCCGCTATGCTGTACTTTCTGTTTGATTGGTTGTGTGTGTGTGTGCATGCTATGGTGTCTCGCATGTCTTGTGTTCCTGTCCAATTCGTGTTGCTGCTTGCTCACCAATAGCGCCTTGTTCGCACTGCTCGTCCCCCTCTCCCTCTCCCTCGCTCCCCTCACACACCCTCTCACATACACACACACTCTCTCTTTCTCTTGTTCGCGTCCTTGCTTCTTCTTTCTCTGCAGTGGATGCGCTTCCACCCGGTTGCGTCATTTTTGCTTGCAGGCTCCGCCTCCGGGGGCGTGGTCATGTGGGCGGTGCCCAGCGGCACCATGTTCAACTTCTTTGGCCACGGCGTGAGTGGCAGCATGTGTGTGTGTCTGTGTCTGTGTCTGTGTGTGTGTCTGTGTCTGTGTCTGTGTCTGTGTGCGTGTGCATGTGTGTGTGTGTGTGCACGTGCATGCGCTTGCTTGCATGAATGGTTGCTTGCGCACGCGTGCTCGTTTCTGTCATCAACTTCACTCCCTTCATTCCTGTCCGCCTCTTTGTGTATGTTCTCATCTCTACACTCCATCACCGCCTCCATCACCGCCTCCATCACCGCCGTCTGTCAGGATGTTGTGTCGTGCGGCGCGTGGTTCCCGAACGGCCGCGCGTTTGTGTCCGCCGGTGACGACGGCCAACTGCTCGCATGGAGCCCGAAGACACGCGAGGTCACGTGCAGAATCGACGGTCCGTTCGCCCTCTCTTGTCTTGTCTTGTGTTGTCTTGTCTTGTCTTGTCTTGTCTTGTGTCATGTTGTCTTGTCTTGTCTTGTCTTGTCTTGTCTTGTCTTGTGTCGTGCTGTCTTGTCTTGCCTTGTGTCGTGTTGTCTTGTCTTGCCTTGTGTCGTGTTGTCTTGTCTTGTGTCGTGCTGTTTTGTGTATCGATGCAATCCATTGTGATTGGCCGTTGCGCCACGTGCCCTTGACATCACGACCTACGCCTCAGCCCACACCGCTACCCTCTACTCACACCCCATCCCACACCACAACACCACCGCCACCGCCCTTCCTCCTCCCACCTCAACCCACATCCCCATGTCCATCTCCATGTCCAACCCCGCCGCCTGCACAGCCAAGACGCATCAGTTTCACCAAACCCCCGTCACCGCGGCCGCGTGCCATCCAGACAACATCCTCGTTGCCACCGGTGGGCCCGATGCCAAGGTCTGCCTCACCAGCACCAAGACGGGCAAGGTCGTGTCCGTGTTTGAGGACCACGGGGACGCGATTGAGGCTGTTGCCTTCTCCTCGTCGTCGCCGACGCTGCTTGCCAGCGGATCACTCGACGGCACCATCGTCGTGCGCAACCCAGCCACCAAGTTCAAGCTCGCCACACTCAAGCATGAGGTGTGGTGCTGTCTCTGTGTATGTGTGTGTGAGAGAGTGAGAAAGGTTTTGTATGTTTGTGTGTGTGTGTGTGTGTGTGTGTGTCTGTGTCTGTGTCTGTTTTTGTATGTGTTTGTGCGTGTGTGTGTTTGTGAATGTGTGTGAATGTGTGTGTGAATGTGTCTGTGTCTGTTTTGATGTGTGTGCGTCTGCCTGGGTTTGTTAACCCCCCCCCCCTCCTTGCGAAGCCTTCTCTCTTCACTTCACCCACTAACATCGCTCATCGTCTCCTCTCAACCTTTTAACTCCCCCCCCCCCCAATCTTACTCCTCAGGCGGCAATTGTGCAGTTGACATTCCACCCAACGCTGCCGCTGCTGTACTCGTGCAGTGCAGATGGCACGGTGCGCGTGTGGGATGCGCGCAACGGAGCAAGCATCCACACCTGCTATGGCCACACGGACGCTGTTCTCGGCTTTGCCATCTTCGAGTGAGTACCAGTTGTTGTTGTTTAAGTTGTTGTTGTTTCGTGGTGGTTGTTTCGTGGTTGCTGCTGCTGCTGCTGCAGTCATCTCGCCTTTGTTGTTGTTGTTGTTGTTGTTTCGTGGTTGCTGCTGCTGTTGTTTCGTGGTTGCTGCTGCTGTTGTTGTTGTGAACGGCCGATGTGTGCTGCCGTTGTGCGCGACTTGCTCCTCCGCATCTTACTCACACATCCCCCTCTGCCTTTCACACACACACACACACACACACACACACACACACACACACACACACACACACACACACACACACACACACACACACACACACACACACGTCTCCTTCTCTCCTCTCCCCCCAAACCAATCACTACGGCCGCAATCAGTGAGGGCCGCAAGGTGCTGACTGGCGGCGACGACAACAAAGTCATGCTCTTTGACATCCAGAACCTGCCGACATCGTGACCAACAACAACAACAACAACAACAACAACAACAACAACAACAACAACAACAACAACAACAACAACAACAACACATGTGCCTGGCACCTTGTTTCCTTTATTGATCCGCTTAAACTCCCTCCCTCCCCTCGAATGAGTCAACAGCCCGTATAAAACACCTCATCTGATGCAGCAAAGGGACAAGACGAAGACAATGGCGAGTGACATAACCAAGCACACACACACACACACACACACACACACACACACACACACACACACACACACACACACACACACACACGTGCTTGAACAAGGGAACTGGGTATAATCGATGGACCTCGACGGTCTTGGGAACCTCCGGTGCCCGGGCTACATAAATTGCCTGGACACAGAGAGTGAGTAGAACAACTAACCTTATAAAAGATGGGATATTTATAAAGAAGCCCACAACACAAAGTGTGTGCGGAGTAATAGAGTATTACTCCACTTAGCTCGCTGTGTACTGCCGCCCGGCTTCCGAACGACGACGACACACACACACACACACACACACACACACACACACACACACACACACACACACACACACACATATAAGCAAGGCGGTAAACACGCCACATCCCAGTTCACATGTTCCGACCCGCTCTCTTAGTTCAGCAAGCAGCACCAGCAACGAGCATGAAACAGCGTCATCCCACAGAACCAACACCTGTCTCAAAGTGATCGCGGTGTGGCACAGCTGTCCACCGTGAATTGTAGCTGTCACACAACCATCAACACACGTCATCGTGAGGACACATGCAATGCAACTTTGGAAACGCGTGTCTGAACACAACAAGCAGTCCGCAATACACCCTCACACTCTTGCAGACATCTATGCACATGTTGATGTCTTCAACACACCATGCACGCGCGTCAAGACTGTTGGGATCGGAGCAGTAAATGGTCAGCCTGTGCATGTGCATGTGTGTGTGTGTATGCGTGTGTATGTGTATGTGTGTGTGTATGTTTGTGTGTGTGTGTGTGTGTGGGTGTGTGTGTGTGTGTGTGGAGAAGACAATAACAGCAGCTAAAAATCACATTCAAAAGCATTCAGCCACACTCACTCACCCGCCCAACGTGAAGAAGGAGCTGTCTGCTGGTGGGTGAATGAAGCACGAAGCAGACACCAAATCGAATCCTTGTGGTGGCCCACACCTACATCGCGTCAAACCAACAAGCAAGATTCGGTTAACTATCCATGGGCGAGGCATTCCAATCGCTTGCGCACGACAGGCCGCCCCTGGAATGCTCATCCACACGCTCACTCATTCACACATCCACACGCACACACACTCTCTCTCATTCGCACACACACTCTCACTCATTTACGCACAGATTCACATCCACTCACTCATTCACATCCACACACATCCACTCACTCATTCACATCCACACACATCCACTCATTCACATCCACACATCCACTCATTCGCATACACACACATCCACTCATTCGCATACACACACACACACACGTTGACATGGCGAGTGCTTTGAGGTCCAGAGGCAGCGGCGTCTGGAACGGTGCCATTGTCTTCATTGCTGCTTCGCTCGTTGTCGTTGTGCTGGCCGTCGTACTTGCCATTGCCGTCGTCGTCCTTTGTGTTGAGGAGGAAGAGGACGTTGCCCTGACACCGGAGACGCTACCCTCCCCACGTTTTCTGTCTTGCAGTTGGCTGCGTCGTTGTTCGATGACGTGTCGCAGAGCCTCGATACGCCGATTGCGAAAGCCTTGTTCGCTTTGACGATCGTCCTGTGCGCTGTCAACGCTGCGGTGCTGAAAGAACTGGGCCTTCTCCCTCTCTGCGCTCGCGGGCCCATCATCCTGCTCGTCTGCACACGCGCTTGTCGCCAGAAACACCACCACCACCACAATAAGGACCAACAGCACCTTTGATGCCCCCTGCATCACCAACGTCGTGGAAGCGAAAGCGACAGGAGGAAGGACAGAAGGAACTGGGCTGTACGTTTCGGCCGTCCTCAATACACAACACCATAAAGTGCAGTTGACTTGAATTGTTCCCTAATTTCAGGGCCAGATACACACCGCCTTCAACCGAACCAGCAGCGGCAAAAGAGCAAAGACGACGAACAAGACGACAACAAACCAGGAAAGCAAACACAAGAACGACTGCGGGCAAAAGGTGAGCGCGGAGTGCGTGGTTGGCGACAGGGGGCAAAGGGCGGGTACGGAAGCAACGCTATGTTGTGTGCGTGTGTGTACATGCGTGTGTGTGCGTGTGTGTCATATGGTGAGTTTTGGATCTGCTGTCTTCACATTCTGTGCTCACCTTTTCCTTCGTGCCCACACTGTCACTTTCTTTGGCGTTATCACGCTGTCGCTGCCGCCGCCGCACGGGACCATCAACGTAGGGACAAACGAGACCTGAGCACACCAGTTCCAGTGCGAGCACTTGGTCCCCGAGCAAGCACACTGTGTTTTGTTTGTTTCCATACCCAGCACAGGGCATGAACCATGGCTGGAGCGAGAAAACTTCAAGGTGCGCGCGCATGTGTCTGTCGTCGAGTGTGGCGGCACGGTGGTGTCCGTTGTGTTTCGCGGTTGCGGTGTCTTGGTTCCTGTTGAGGGCCCTTCTGCCAGCCACCCACACGTCATCACCTTGACCCGTGTGCGACTCGCACTCATACCCACGTATTGCTTGCGCTCTGCTATGTCTTTTGTTTGGCGGCAACAGGAGAAATCGACAAATGCGTAAAAGCTGTGAACGAGCTTAGTGATCAGTTTGACTTTACATGGGAGAAGGTACGTGTCTGTGTGTGTGTGTGTGTCTCAATGCGTGTGCGTGTGTGTGTGTGTGTCTGTGTGTCTATGTGTGTCTGTGTGTCTATGTGTGTCTGTCTGTCTGTGGTGACCGCTGAGCAGGCTGTTGTGGAAGTGCTCTGTACCTGTGCGCGTGTGTGCATGTGTGTGTGTGTGTGTGTGCGGGCCCGTGGCGTGTGCAGTGATGTTCGTGGTTATTGACTTCCCTCCTCCCTTGCTGTCAGGCCGAAAATGCGACCAACTCGAACCAGAAGGACAAGTTTGAGGCTGAGCTGAAGAAGCTCATCAAGAAGCTTCAGGTCAGGCCTTTTGTTTTGGGGGGGGGGCAGTGTCGACTCGTGTGTGTCTGTGTATATGTGTGCGTGTGTGCGTGTGTATCTGTGCGTGCGTGCGTATCTATGCGTGCGTGCGTATCTGCGTGTGTGTGCGTATCTATGCGTGCATGTGTCTGCCTTTTGCCTACCTTCTGCCTGTCTGTTTCGACTGTCTGTCCGTCTTGACTTCAGACGGCATCACCTCGCCTTGCTCACACGCCACACCGTGCTCGCTGCCTTTGCTCTTGCAGAAATTCCGGGACCAGATCAAGACATGGCTGACGAGCTCCGACGCAAAGACGCAGGAGAAGATGCTCAAGGAGTACAGGCGAAAAATCGAAGTGGTGAGCGTGTGTATATGTGTTTGTGTTTGCGTGCGTGCGTGCGTGCGTGCGTGCGTGCGTGTGTTTGTTTGTTTGTTTGTATGTGTATGTGTATGTGTGCGTGCGTGCGTGTGGCTGTTTGTTTGTATGTGTGTGTACGTGTTTGTGTTTGTATGTGTGTGTGTGTGTGCGTGTATGTGTGTTTGGAGGAGATGCACACCAAACGCCACGAGCTCACGCGGTCACACGCGCGCGCGCGCGCGTGTGTGTTTGTGTGAACAGCGAATGGAGCGGTATCGGGACTTGGAACGCGATGCAAAAACAAAGGCCTACTCTAAAGAAGGTCCGCCTGCACACCAGATCACGCATGTGTGTGTGTGTGTGTGTGTGTGTGTGTGTGTGTGAGCGCTTTGAAAAGCGTGTGCTCCCTGACGACCATATCGCGACGGAGACAGCCTACCACCGCTCGAATCATCCATCTCACCAACTCACCACCACCACCACCACAACCTCCCCTCCCCCCCCCCCCTGCATCTGCTGCGTTGTGCCCAGGGCTTGACCGGCAGGCGCGGCTTGACCCCGAGGAGCAGGAGAAGAAGGACATGCAGGACTGGATCAACAAGACGATGGACGAGCTGCGGGTGCGCATCGACCTCCTCGAGGCCTCGCTCGTCGCAAAGGGAAAGCGCAAGAAGGCCTCCCTCTCCGTACGTACACACACACACACACACACACACACTCTCTCTCTCTCTCTCTCTCTCTCTCACACACACACACACACACACATGCACCACCTGCCATCACGCTGCTGCTGCTGGTGGTTGGCGAGGCGGTGGGTGGCGGGTGCTGTTGGTCGCCGTGGTGGTGGTGGTCCTTGAGTTATCGCTTTCTGTCATCGATGCAACAAACTCCAGTGACTCACGCTACTGCACCAACCCCCTCCTCCTCCTCCTCCTCCTCCTCTTCCTCCTCCTGCTTTGACTGCCGCCTGCCCTGCGTGCGCTCGCCCGTGTTGCCCCGTTGCGACAGGATGATGAGGTTGAGAACCGCAAGTTCTGGATCCAGAGCCACAAAATCCACATCAGCCGTCTCGAGGTGCCTTTCCCTGCACAAGCACACATGCACACATGCACACATGCACACATGCACATGTCATGGCTCTGCTGCATGATTCGAAGAGGGGCGTACCGGAGTGGAGGATGTGTGTGTGTGTGTGTGTGTATGTGTGTGTATGTGTGCCACCGTGTGTAATACTGTGTTTGTGTATGTGTACGTCGCTTTTCATTGTAGCTTGTGTCGTTTTGTTTCCACCAGTCACACATTACGCGGGCAGTCACTCACACCTGGATGATGTTCGTTTTGTCATCATGTGTGTGTGTGTTTGTTTTGTGCCACCGTGTGTGTGTGTGTGTCGCCGTTTGTGCTGCGATATGTTACGATGTGCGTGCGTGCGGCAGCTGCTGCTGAAGCTGCTCGACAACGACTCTGTGCCGGCGGCGCAGATTGAGCCGCTGCAGGACGAGTTTGAGACGTACTTTGACGAGAACGAGAACAGCGACTTTTACGAGACGGACTGGTTCTACGAGGACCTCGAGGAATTCCTCAGAGACAACGGGGTGCGCTGCCGCCCTTGCGTCAGCATGCTCATATCGCTTTGTGGTGATGGTGGTGCATGTGGTGGTGGTATTGCACAAACTGCACGCTGCCTGCTCATAACCCCCCCCACCCCTTCCTCCGCTCCTGCCTGCTCACCACGTTCGTATCTCCATCTTAGATGCCTGGAGCGTTGGAACCGCCAGAAATTCCACTCGAGGTGCGACCACAACACACACGTGACATGTGTTGATTCTGGCGTTGCACATGCTGCTGCTGTTGCTGCACATGGTGCTGCTGTTGCTGCATGTGTTGTTGCTGGCTGCTGCCTCTCTCCAACTCGCTGACCTCGCCCACAACTCACTCACAATATTTGCAACTTCCTTCGCCATCCATCCATCCATCCACTCAATCATTCATTCATGTGGTCCTTTGCAGCCTGAGCCACCAAAGGAAGAGGACAAGAAGAAGGACAAGAAGAAGAGTAAGCACCCGATCCTATCGAGCCTTTGTCTTGTGCATTGACTCCGAAACACCATTTCACCCACGTCACATCTCAACACAATTCAACACAATTCAACACATCTCAACACAACTCAACACCTGCACCGCCGCACCCTCACCTCCCGCGCCACATGTTTTGCCTGTGTGCTTGCGCGCGTGCCAATTTACAGAGAAGAAGAAGGAGAAGAAGTCCACCAGCACCGCAGCATCGGAAAAGGTTTGTCCCTCGCCACCACACACGCACACACACACACATACAACACACACACACACACACCAACCACCACAACTACCACATCGTCATCATTCCCTTTACCTCATTCCCCCTCAACACCCCTTCCCTCATCCACCCCCACCTCCACCTCTTCTGTTGTGTGCACCAGTCGACGCCCAAGACGGCGCCATCTGCGCCCGCAGGAGCAGTGACAACTAGCAACGGCAACGGCAGCAATAAGGTTGCAGCCACGCCAACAAAGGCAAAGCCAGCAACAGCAACAGCAACAGCAACAGCCGCAGCAGGAGGGAAGGGCAAGGCTGTGCCGGGGACGCCAGCCAAGGGCAGCAAAGGCGGCCCAACAGCAGCAGCGAGCACCCCAACCAAGCCCGCGCCAGCATCAACCTCCTCATCCACCACAACAGCAGCAGCAGCAGCAGCAGCAGCGGGCGGCAAGACGGCAACAACAGCAGCGACCACAAAGTCATCATCATCGTCGTCGTCGTCGGCGGCACCTGGAGCGCGCGGTGGTGTTGTACTGCCGCCGTCACCGAGCAAAGGGCCGGCCCTCCCGCGCCAGTCGTCAGCTCCGGCCGCATCCCCAGCAAAGGTGCACAGTGATGGTGGTGGTGGTGGTGGCGGTTGTTGCTGTTAATGTTGTTGTTGTTGTTGTTGTTGTTGTTGTTGTTGTTCTTGTTGTTGTTCTTGTTGTTGTTCCTGCTGCTGCTTTGCATGTGAACATACAACGGCACTTTATTGTCACGTTCCTGCTCATCACCCCTTGTCACTCCATGGCGTTTCTTGTGCGCAGGCTGCACCCGCCATCAACTTTGCTGCAGCCGCAAGGGTTTGTTTCGCTGCTTCTGATGTGGATGCGCGCGCGCGTGTGTGAGTGTTTGTTCGTGCGGGCATTGCCTGCGTGTCTCGTCTGTTTCTGTTGCATTCACGAGACCGTCTTACACGTTTTCGTTTGCTCCTTGTCCCCCCTCCCTTTCATCACTGGATGCCGTGTTGACACCACCTCAATACAGCAACGGACCAAGTCTGGCTCAAAAGGTGAGGAAACACAGTGTCTGTGCTGCCTCCACTGACGCCTTGCATTCCGTGCCCTTGCTCCATGACTCATTACTCACCACCACCACCACCATCACAACCAACCACCCTTATCAGCGTCGCCTGATGTTGGGCCGGCTGCGCCCCAATCACCTCGCCAGGCAGCAGCACCCCGCCCACCGGTCAGCAGACATGCACGCGCACTTACAAACATGCACATGTTTATGCACACACATATACATGCGCCTGCGCACATTCACCCACACAAACATAAAACACACACATCCACATACACACACTCACTCACACGCACACACATACACATACACACACACACACACACACACACACACACACACACACACACACACACACACACACACACACACACACGACGACGACGAC